TGAAGCAATTTGTTCTTCTCAAATAGAACTAGATTTTTCTCAAAAAGAATATAAAGAAGAGAAAAGAAAAAAATGTGTTTGTTGATGAACAAGAACAAGAAACACAAAAAGAAGTTAAGGAAGAACAAGGAAAAAATATAGAAGTAATTGAGGAAGAAGAGGAACAAAAAGAGAAGGAATAAGAAGAATAAATATAGAAGTAGTTGAGGAAGAAGAGGAAAAACAAAAAGAAGTTGAGGAAGAAGAATGAAAAATAGAGAAGTAGTTGAGCAAGAAAAAGAAGAAACAAATGAACTTGATGAAGAAAAACAATAACTTCATGAAGTTTGCAATGATATTGGTGATGATGGGATTAAAATTATCAATGTAGATGATTTTCCTATGTATCTGCAGCCTAATGCTAATGGTGATAACATTATTAGGTCAGTCCTGGAAAAACCTTTTAATAACTTCAGGGCTATCCTCAAGAGAAATCATTTGGAAGAGTTTTTCAAAACTAGTTGTTTCAGTTATTTTCTTGATTTACCCAATGATACAACTCCACATTTTCAAGTGACCATTGTTTATGAACTTTTGAAAAGAAGTTTCATTTTTCAAAATCCCGAAAAGAATGATGAGATTGTAATAACTTACTGTGGCATGTCAGTCATCTTTGGCAAAAGAAAGTTTTCCATAGTTACAGGGTTAAAATGCCATCCTCCTCTTGAGCCCGTCCCTAAGTACATTGTCAAAAAAGAACCATAAAAAAAAGAAAGGAGTAAAAGAAGAAGAAGAAACAGGACAACAGTCACTGTCAATTGAGGAGCAGGACTTGATGTCCCTTGTTGGCAAAAGATTCAAAACTTTTGACTTAATAAAGTTGTTGGAACACGAGGATACACCAAGGAAGCACAAGGAGTCATTGTGCTTACTTTAGTTTACACATAATATACTTTTGGCGAAAGATCTCAACAATAACATACTGTTTAAATGAGTAAATTTTTGTCATGATATTGAGGCTTTCAACAACTATCCTTGGGGTCATGAGAACTTTATAACTCTCAAATACTTGTTGAAACCTTAAGGTGAAAAGACTAGTAACTTGTTTGGCTTTCCATGGGCTTTCATGGTAAAGCTAAATTTTCTTAATACTTTTATATTATATTGAATAATTCAACATTTGATTTGTGACATATTTTCCTTTTTGATAGGCTTGGACATTTGAAACCATTCCTTATTTGACTCATCAAGTAATTGCTGAAGAACAGATCTCATCTCCAAGGATATTGAGATGGTTGAGATCAAAAATAAAAACTACCAAAGATGGGCATATTTCAAATCGTTTAACCCTCCTCGTGATGTACTAAGTTATTATTAGTATATTACACACTTATGTTGCAAAAATGACTCTTATGTTGCTACAGATGCCCATATGTGTTAGCTATCACATATCTGTAGCAATATATGACACATATGTGACAACATATCACTCATTTGTAGCGACATATGGCACAAATATTGCTACAGATGCTCATATGTGTCAACCTATCACACATCTGTAGCAACATATGATGCATATGTGACAATATATCACCCATCTGTAGTGACATATGACACATCTGTGGGACTATATCACTCATTTGTAGCAACAAATGACAAATCTGTAGCAATATATGACCCAAATATTCTTATGGATGACTCATTTTTATAATTTTAGGTTGTGCATCCATGGATTACCCCAACAGAACATGAATTGCAAATGTCATATCCAATTACTCTAGGGTTGATTGAAACCATTTTTTATCCTGTTGTGGATAGAGTTAAAATGGAGTTGGTTGGAGCAACAACCATCAAAAGAGACAGAGTTGTTAATGAATTAGTTTTTTTTTGATGGGGATGATGGTGTTGGTTATGGTGCTAGTGTTGATGTTGGTGCTGGTATTGGACAAGACCAAGGGGCTACCTCTTGTAGAAGATGTGACTTTCTCTGTGAGAAGTGAAAGAAACAAGATGAAGATTCTATCATATATATTCAAACATTGAGTCAAACTGTCAATGAATTTAAAAACAAGAGAAGGTCAAGGTCATTCTATCAAAGAATGTTCGGCATCCATATACTCCACAGGACAAGAGGAGGAAAGAAATCATTTGTCAAAGCAATACAAAATCTGAAAAAGAAGATGTTTGGAGAATTGCCAAGTGACGTAATAGAGGAAATGAAGGAGTACAAAAAGTTGAATATTTATAAGTGTGTGACTGTAGCGGAAAGAACCAAAATGTTGAGTCTGACGAGTGCAAAGGATGTTTGATTAAAATATGACATGTATACTTTTATAGTACAAGATTTCAGGAACATGACAAGTATGAAAGTTTGGCGGGAAGACTGTGTAATCCTTCAGTTTGTAATGCGCGTTTATTTTATCTTTTCAATGACTACTGTTCTTTACTCTTTAATATTATTTTTTTCAATATATTGATGAAATCCTTAACCTCATGCGTCAGAGGCATGAGACATACTCAGATTACTATAATCCCACAGATAGATACCTGGACGTCAATTTCAATACCAACTTCCTAAAAAGATATAAAGAAATAAGGGAGAGACAATAACTGTTGGTGGTTGAAACATTAAACATTTAGTAAATGAGTTTGAATGGGATGAAGATATCATTGACTATGCCAGGGACATTAGGACATATATTGGAGGCATGGATTGGATTGGTACAAAAAGGATTTTGACAATCATGAACATGAACAATACCCATTTTGTGACTCTCGAGATTCTCTTGCACGAGGGTCATATGAATGCTTATGGCTCCCAGCAGATGGGTATGGAACATGTTAAGTTTTGATATACAATCTGTCTTTGAGTAGATGCCTAAATTGTTGAAGTAAAGTGGAATAATGAATCATTTGCTAGAAAAGTTTTTCAATGAACCATTGAAATTTAAAGGTCGATTGGATCTCATGGTAAAAAATAAAAACTGGAGCGGCGTGCGGGTCATATTCCCTTGCATTTATTGAAAATTTGGTTAAGGGACAAAAATTCAACCTCCCAAAACATTGTTGTGTGACAATCTAGTTAAACGAATGCAATGGGTTTGGGCTTATGGGATAATGTCTCGTAGCTTAAAACCTTGAAATGTGTTTGAAATTAAAGACAATGTTTTATTTTATATTATGTTGACAACAAGTACATAATAAGTGATGTGGATAGTTCTCATATGTGGAAACATATGCCTCAAATGGTCAAACATTGTCAAACATTGCTGCATACGGGTTATCTGTAGTAATATTTAAGGCATTTGTAGCAACATATGGATCATATATAGCAATATATGCCTCAAATGGTCAAACATTGATACATATGGGTTATCTGTAGCAACATTTGAGGCATCTGTAAAAATATATAGATCATATGTAGCAACATATGCCTCAAATGGTCAAACAGTCCTACATAAGAGTTATCTGTAGCAACATTTGAGGCATTTGTAGCTACATATGGATCATATATAGCAACATATACCTCAAATGGTCAAACATTCCTACGTAACGGTCATTAGTAGAGACATTTGAGGCATCTGTAGCAAAAAAAAAGTAAAAAAAACACGAGTGAATGCGCTAGATGTCTATTGTTTTTACAAATTACTGAATTGGCTTAGAGTGAGAACCCAGTCCATAGCTTTACTTACCAGTTATCTATCAATTGCCTTCTCTCCCATTACCTTAAAGTTCAATCAGAAGCATAGAAGAAAGACTGTACCTATCTATCCAATAAGCAGATAGAGTAGAAGAGAAGGCCCGAAACAAGGTTGACTGAGACTGCCAACTGCAAGAGAAGAGAGAAGAGAGAAAGCAAGCCGAAAAATTCTAAATTCATTACCGGACAGAATGCCTTTTTCTGATTCATGTAATGAGAGTGAGCTTGCTTCTTCAATGCCGTAGTCTTGGTCTAGGAATGTGCTAGTAAACTGTAGCGAAATCACTGGAAATAAGAGAGATGTGAGTGTCAATCATTCTGTCAGCATGCTCAAAGAGTGCTTTCCAGAAGATGGAGAATGAGAGAATGCACTTACAACCTCTCTCTCATATCCACCTGCCAAGGCATGACATAGATTGTAAACAGTCAGCTCTCTTACAGCCAATTACTGTGATTGATTGGGGAGAGAGTGCTAGTCTAACTGCCTGTACGGGTATGCTAATAGATAGAGGATCTTCCAGTCCTAGAATAAGAAAGTAGCATGGATAATATGTAGCAACATATGCCTCAAATAGTCAAACATTCCTACATAAGTTTCATCCGACATTTAAGACATCTGTAGCAACATATGCCTCAAATGGTAAAACATTCCCATAGAAGAGCCATCTGTAGCGACATTTGTAGCAACATATGCCTCAAAAGGTCAAACATCCCTCCATAAGGGTCATCTGTAGCGATATTTGAGGCATCTGTAGAAATATATGGATCATATATAGCAACATATGACTCAAATGGTCAAACATTCCTACATAAGGGTCATTTATAACAACATTTGAGTCATCTGTATCAACATATGGATCATATGTAGCAATATATACCTCCAATGGTCAAACATTCCTACATAAGAGTCATTTTAGCGACATATAAGGTCTGTAGCAACATATGGATCAGATTTAGCAACATATGCCTTAAATGGTCAAACATTCCTATATAAGGGTCATCTGTAGCGACATTTGAGGCATCTGCAGCAACATATGGATCATATGTAGCAACATATGCCTCAATTGGTCAAACATTCCTACTAAGGGTCATATGTAGCGACATTGGAGACATTTATTACATATGGATGATATGTAGCAACATATGCCTCAATTAGTAAAACATTCCTACATAAGGGTCATTTATAGCGACATTTGAGGCATCTGTAGCAACACATGGATCATATGTAGCGACATATTCCTCAAATAGTCAAACATTCCTACATAAGGGTCATCTGTAACGACATTTGAGGCATATATAGCAACATATGGTCAAACATTGATTCAAGAATGCAAAACTATGTTTATTTATTTCCACAACTATCGTAATTTTAATGGTTGTACACCAACTAAATAAGAATTTCTATCCTCTACTGTATTTTTCTTTGTAATGCTTGATAATTCAAGAAAAAAATAAACAACACCAAGATTAGCTTCCACATGCTATAATATTTCGTCTTCTTCTTCTCCTTATCCCCATTCGATACGTATTTTAATATGACTTTCATCATAAATTTTCAACTCCTTAATTTTGATCATAAATTTTCAACTCCTTAATTTTGTTCGCCAATCTTAGAATAACGAAAGTGTGATCGTATATCAACATCTTCACGATCCCTCCATCTAAAGAAATTGCTTGCATTCTCCTAAGACATACCACAAAGAAAGAAATTTATTTATTTTTAAAAACAAAATAAAGAGATGTGAAGTTTTTCAAAAGACTAAGATGTAAAAATGAACATACATGATAGCGTGGACAAGATCAAAACCTTCGACGTTGATTGTCCTTCGACCATGAAGTTTGTATTGAAAGTAAGTCTCCATGTTTGCAATAGATTTTCACACCCAACATGGTATCATTTTCATCATTACAAATTCGATTTAGTGTTGCATTTGACATCATATCAAAAGTAACAAAAACAAACAAAACTCATTCATTAGATCTATATTGTAAAGAACCACATTCTTACCCATCTAGATATGGAAAGTCCCAAAAATTGATTTAACCAAAGGTCAATCAAATTAGTTATGTGCTAAAAAAAAAGAAAAGACTGACAGATGAAAGATTAATAAAAATGAAATAATATCATTACATCCCGAGAGATCCAAGATCCATGTGAAGCGAGAGGTCGTATCGAAGAGAAAGAGAGAGAAGAAGCGCCAAGACCGAAGCGGCAAGGATGAAGAAATTCATATATATATATATATATATATATATATATATATATATATATTTCCAAATTCTTAAAAAGATACCTTAACTTTGCAATCATCCTATTACCCCACTAAATAATTCTAAATAAATATAATTACATCAGTTTTTGTCCATCTGACATAGCGTGTGGTGTGCACTCTCTCAAAGAGAGTTAGCAGCCTAAAATAACTAATATAATTTTATTTTCATAATTATTTTATTATAAAATAAATTTTCTTATTATTTTAGCTTTTTTTCCTTTTTATTTTTTGTCTTTCTTTCTTCTTTCTTTTCAAAAATTCATTGTCATCTGTATTAATTGAAGCTTCTTACTTTCACTATCACCATTTTTACCACAACTTCACTTTTTTTTTTATTCTTAGTTTTACTTTCTTTAATTTTAAAATTTTATCTAAATATTTCTTCTTACTTTCAATATCACCATTTTTACCACAACTTCACCTTTTTTTTATTCTTAGTTTTACTTTCTTTAATTTTAAAATTTTATCTAAATATTTTCTTACATTTCGAACAATTCGATAAACTCATTAGATCTCAAGATGATTAGGAAGTATCATATAGTTTTTTAATTCAATTTCAATTAAGTTTTTTAATTTTTGAGAAATTACTTGATTCTTTTAAATTATCATTTCTAATTTTGAATTTATATGAAAATGAGTAGTTGATGATACCTTCAAAATCTTAAATTTTCTTTAAAAAATAATTAATTTTGTTATGAAAAAATCAATGAAGTCTCAATAATAGTATGAATTTTATAAAGAATTTGACCGGAGAACAAGAAGAAAAAGAAAAGAAAAAAAATGGAAGTGAGTTTCAATTTGACATGGGGGTGAGAGGTGAAGAAAAAAAAGAAAATGAAGGGATCACTTTAAAGTGAGAGGTGGAAAATAAAATGAAATTTAAGATATATAAAAATTAAAATTCAAAGAGAGAGAGAGAGAGAGAGAGAGAGAGAGAGAGAGAGAGAGTGAGAGAGAGAGAGAGAGAGAGAGAGTGAGAGAGAGAGAGAGAGAGAGATGAAGGAAAAAATTTTAATGAAAAAAGTTATATTTTTAATTAAATCAACACGTGTCATGTAATGATTGATTTGTGAACTCACTTGCTTCTTAAAATTTGAGACACATATATATATCCCTTTTAGAAATGAAATAATTGGTCAATTGGACCAGTTTTAGTATTTGATTTACAGAATGGGCTTTCCTATGATTGGGCGAGTTTTATAAAGTACTTCAACGTTTTATAAGCTGTTGTCACATATGTTAGATCTGTTGCAATTTTGCCAACAGAACCTGCATATGTTGAAACAGATAAACATCAAGGATGGAGTAATCGACGAATTGATCGATTTAGGAATGGAAAAATGAAAAGTTGGACCAAATTTTATTACTTTATACCATAGTTAAGCAATAAAAATAAATTATAACACTTGAAACAACGATTTACATGGGTGTTATATAACTATCATATGAATTTAATTGGTCATTGTATGATGAACAAGTGGGGTGATAGTCTTCCTAAATAGAATTGATAGAATCAAATGAAGGTTGTTGTATTGGACAATAATTTTTTTACTTAGACATGTTATATGACTATATAATATTGAATTGGGTTACCATTTAATTTAATTAACCCCCAAAAGACATTTTATAATATTTATATGTTTCCACATATGTTAGGTCCGTTGAAATTTTGCCAACAGAATCTGCATATGTTGGCACATATGAAATATCAAGGAGGGACTAATCGACGAAACATCAAGCTGGACCAAATTTTATTCATTTAGGAAGTACCCCATAAAATTAACTACTTCATCTAATTCATAATCACAAAGACATAAGTCACAACGATATCGACTGTAAGAGAATCAACAAGTAGTGCAACAAATTGTTCTTTCTCCAATCTTTTAAGGTTCGTGTGGGAACATTCTATGTAAACTATGTCGGTAATAGTCTCGACATCTTCAGAGACATGGTATACTCATGTTACCAATGAAACTTGTGCCTTCTCTCATGGACTCACCGCCTTTGAAGATTAAAATTATGGCATGCACATATCCTGCACAAAGGTGACCACCACCTGCTGCTCGCTTAAGCATTCTCAATCCATTTGGATCGCTAAAGTTGAAAAATCATACTACAGAAGAAATAAGACATTTAAAATGCAAAATACATTGATAAATACGTGAATACATATGAAAAATATTAAAATTATCACGCCTTTTCTATAAAAGAATTCTAAATTCCCCGATTCTCTATACATTTCCATGAAAGAAGTGTATCTCTGATAAATTGAAGACGACCATATAAACACTGAATGCTGCACAAATTTACCTTCTGATATAAGAAGGTTCATTAGAGACTTCATTTAGGAGCCTGGAACTTAAAAATACAAATCAAATGGTCAGAAAATCGAATTAAAAAATGAAAAACGAAAATTGTTTAATACATACATACCTTAATTTAACCCTCATTAAATCTTTGAGGGAGTAAAAAGCAACCCTTTGAACGATAACAATTACTAGTTCCCTTGGAAGGGATTCAATGCAGTTTTTTTCCTTAGTGTCATTTTTGAAGATTTCTTATTCTTACTTTCTATATTTGATATAATTATATGAAAAACCTAAGTTTCGTTCTTCTTATATATATAATAATATAATTTTAATGTAATAAATATGAAGAGACACTTCTGAAGAATGTCAAAAGTTGTAAGTACTTAATGTTGCCACAAATTTAATTCGACATATGTTGCCACATAATTCAAAAATAAGTAAAAAAAAGACAAAAATGTCACATTTTCACCATGTGTCATATGTTGCCACATAATTTGAAAAAAGTATAAAAGACAAAAAGAAAACATTTACACCATATATCATATGTTGCCACAAATTTAATTAATTAATTACAACTACACAATTCACAATGAATATCATCTTCATCGTCGCTTTCCATGGGCCAACCATTCTTGTGGGCGATTTGATGGGTTTGATGAATAGTGCAACAAATGGGTCTTTCCCCCAATAAATTAGGTTCTGACACCCACATTTGATTTAAAATGTATCACAAATTGTGTTGACATTTTTTGATTGTTTTGGGCTCAGTTTTTTTCATATTGGCGATGAACATCAAGCCTTCTCTCATGAATTCACCGCCTTCAAAGATTGTAATTATGGAAAGCACGTAGGATGCACCAATGTGGCTAGCGCCTGCTGCTTGTTTAACCATTCCCAATGCAGTTGGATCATTACGATTGAAAAAATCATACTACAGAATAAATAATACATTTAAAATACAAAATACATTGATGAAAACGTGAATACATACGAAAAATATTAAAATTACCATGCCTTTTCTGTATAAGGCTTATAGTTCTCTAATGCTATGCAATTTTCCATGAAAGAGATGACTTTTGTTGATTCATCGTCCATCTAGTTTCGGAGGAAAGCTGACCAATGTTACCTTCTGATATACAAAACGTTCATTACAGACTTCATAGAGAAAACTGGAACTAAGAAACGAAATAAAATGGTTAGGAAATAAAATTAAAGAGCGAAAATTGATTAATACATGCATACCTTAATTTAACCCTCATTAAATCTTGTAGGGAGGAAGAAGCAACCCTTTCAACAATAAGAATTACTAGTTCAGTCGAAAGGGATTCAATGTAGTTTTTTCTAGTTGAAACCATTTTTGAGAAAATTAAATGAAGAAGAAGAGAACACAATTTTTGACTTCTCCTCCCTTCTGTTGTGTTCTTGTAAAATGCCAAGAAATTTGAAAAGTTGCAAGAGAAGAGATGACTTTCAAAACAGGGTAAAAAATTGAATAGTCGTAACTTTTTTATTTATTAAACATGTTTCAATGACAGTAATTATTTTTTAAAATATATTGGGACAGACGCGTAATTATTTTCTAAAAATGTATTTGACATATGTTGCAACATATGCATTATCTTTTGTAATATCTAACACATAATTGACATACGTTGGTACAGATACGTGATGTTGTAATATCTAATACATAAATCATAATTGACATATATTACTACATATGCAATGTTCTGTTACAAAAATGTAACACATAATTGTCATATGTTGACTCATATAAATTTGTTTAAAATTAGTCACACTTTTTATTTAGTGATAACAATCAAATTCAAAAATTATTGTAAAACATAAAAAAGGGCAACATTTTTCAACGTGAATTTGCAAGTTCTTTACATATGTTTCCACATATGATAATTTAATTGATCCATCGTTTGATGCAGAAAATTAACTAGATAATCTAGTTCTATATTGCACCTATAGAGATCACAATGAATATATCTTCATTGTAGTGTCTTCTCCAGGGAAAATCATTCGTGCGATCGACTCACTCAAATTGATAATAGTGCAACAAATATGTCTTTTCCCCAACAAACAAGGTCGATACATACTTAGCACACAAAGTATTTCGCAAATGAATTCGACATCTTCTCACTATTACTATGTTTTTTTCATGTTGGCAATGAACATTAAGCCTTCTTTCATGGTTTTACCGCCATTGAAGATTGACATTATGACAAACACATACTGAGCTCCACTATGACCACCGTTTGCTGCTTGATTAATCATTTCCAATGCAGTTGGATCGCTAAGGTTGAAGAAATCATACTACAGAAGAAATAACACATTTAAAATGTAAATTTAAAAAAAGAAGTGAATACAATCAAAAATATTAAAAATTACCATGTCTTTTCTGTATAAGGCTTCTGGATTCCATGATGCTCTGCATATTTCCAGGAAAGAAACGACTCGTTGAACAATCGACCATCTACGATAAGGAAACTTGAGAAAATTTACCTTTTGATATACAGAATGTTCATTAGGTACTTCATATAGGAACCTGTAGCTGAAAAATGAAATAAAATGATTAGGAAATGAAATTAAAGAGGAGAAAATAGATTAATATATACATTCCAAAATTTAACCCTC